AATTTTGGAAAATAGGTACGGTGTTCAAAACGATGTGATTATATTCTTCATGTAGGAGGAAACAAAGGGTAGAAACCACAGATTTGATACTTTCCCCCTCCCATTGGTTTCTGAAGGTCAAAAATAGCGTTCTTCCCAAAATCGATAGGTAACTTTCAACTTAATTGCACCTAGAGGAAGTGAGTTGAGTAAAACCTTGTAATGATATGATTTGTTTCCCATATCATGAGGAACAATTTTTTTTTCATTGGAGTCTCTAGCTGCAATAGCTATCGAGATACAGAAGATAACGCAAACCTCCATTTGAGCCGAAAACGCGTTTTCTCGCATTTTAAAAACGGCTGTGCCGGGAGAACCGAGCGGATTATAATTTTTAAAAAAATATTTTTGAGGTGTGAAAATATATAGAAATACAGTGTACAAAATTTGATTTTTTTTTAAAAATGGTGAGCGACCTCTCTGGATGACTTCACATGGAATTACCCATACGAACTTGAACCAACTCGAGCATCATTTGCTCTGTGCTTCAAGTCGTTCAAGTCGCTGCTGATGACGCTTCCGGCATTAGTTTTTGGTTTTTGGTGTCTCTCTTCGTCTGACGCCTACCTTTGACCTGTCCAGCAAAGGAGGCCCTGCCAGTAGCTACGTTACCGCTGGTATAGCTCTGAGGGTCCTTGGCATACTCAAAGCCCCTCACCACGATAAGGTGATCCAATATACTGAACATAAAAACGGTCAGTATTAACTTTGCCATAATCAGCATATTCCTCATGAATCACCAGTCTGGGTGGAATCATGTTCTTATACAGTGGAATAATAAAGCCACTTGCTTATATAACGATAACCCCTCCGTTTTTATTACTATGACCTACAGCACTCGCCCACAGTCATATTACAAGAATACCGGAAAACAGGCACGTGCTTTGTTATTGGTTCAGTGCAGGGAGTTGAAATATTTTTCAAGAATATTTGGAATGATTGCCGTGCACGCAGTTCAAGTAATTTAGATAAATGTAGATGACCATAATGATGGATGATTGTCACCTCTCCCTTCCACAGTCGCCCGAGGGCTCCTATTGGTTGAATTGGGACAGTGACGATCCGTAGCCGGCCTAGGTCCGAGCTATAGTGTTAGCCTGGTCGTCCACTGGAACCGTATCTTCCGTGGCCCGTATACGGCCGACCAGGTCGTCCGATTTAAAACCTCGTCCACTGCAGCCGAATTACATCCGACACAGTGCCGCTCCGTCAGTGTGGCCTTGTATCGCCAGTGAACCGCGTGTTTGTTGTTACAAAATGGATGATGATCTGTATTTCCTGGAAAATCCATATCTCGTGAGGCGAAGAATGCAGCGAAAGCGAAGGAAGTACTGGGTCAGTCCCATATTAATCAAAAGAAGAATTCTGGGAGAATTCCATCATCTACATGAGGAGTTGAAGAGAAACGGGGAAAAATTTTGCGACTACTATAGGATGAACATGGAGACATTTCAGTATACTTTAATGGCTATTCAGCCCTCAATAACGAAATGGTCGAATTTCAGAGAAGTTATACCACCTGAGGAGCGTTTGGCTTTAACATTAAGGTAAGTTGTACACATTTTGAGTTACAAACATTTTTATTGAACAAGAACGGAAAAATACACGTAGGTTTACAGTTTACAACATAGTATACATAGGAATAGTGAAAAATAATTTTGTTCAAGATGTTCCAGTTGCGTTTTATGTGAAATTGGAAAGGTAAGACGCCACAGTCTGCATGGGTTCCCTTTCAGTTTGATTAAGGGACTCGCTGTTTGCTGGTTGTGTGAAATTGCTGACGTTTGGAAGAGTATTTTGTTCTTCCTCAATGAAAAC